TCAGAAGGAGCACTGACCCGGGGCAGCAAGAGAGGGTCTGAGGAACCAGGGGCCCTTCTCGAAAGGAAGAGGGCGGCCAGGCCTGGCCTAGGGGCCTTGGCGGGAGCCAAAGCCACACCACAAGCGGACTGTCCACAGGCAGTGAGGTCAGTGGGGGAGGGAACAGCTGACAGCAAGGGACTTCCCCGCTCTCATTAACAGAGCCAGGGCCCTGGCGTCTCAGGCCTCCTGCTCCCTGGACACCGGGACAAGTCCCCAGAGAGCAGCAGGCGGTGACGGGCAAATTCTGCTCCCCCCAGAGGCAATGCCTTCCCTGTCCCACAGCAGCCTCAGCCCTCACTGCAGCCCGAGCGAGCGAGCGGGTCACCTCGGTGGCGGAGAAGAAAGAGTCCTCGGATGTCAGGCTGTCCTCGTCGTCCGCCCGCAGGCGCAGGGAGCCCTCGGTCAGGGGCATCATGAGGGTCCTCTCTGTAAGGAGAAGGGGGTGGCTGAGACGTCCCTCGGCGCCTTGCGGCAGTGGGGGGCGGGTTCATGTGAGGTCCCTGCACAGCTGCCTCCTTGGGAGGACTCTGCTCAGGCGCTCCATCTCCTTCCAGCCCCACAAAACCCAGAGGTGGCACAGCATCACACCCCTCCACCGGCAGGGACATGGGACGGGAGGGGCTGGCATCCGCCTGGAAGCCTGAGGCCCACTTCTTGGGGGGCAGAGAGAGCTGTGCTGCGAACCCAGGAAGTCACAGGCCCTCCCCATCTTGCCCTCTGGCCACACCACAAGGGTCACGGACTCGGCCCCTGTCCCTTCTACACAGAGGCTGCCGGGTCTGCCCCTTTGCAGGTGCTTGGGAAATGTTCACCAAGAGCAAAGACCAGAGACCCGCAGGGGGCCACCCTGAGAGGGAGCCCTTTTCTGTCCCCGGAGACCCAGAGGAAGCCCAGTGTCCCACTGCCAAAGCCACCCCGAGGCCATGTGGTGAGAAAGCAGAGGGGCAGGTCTAGCCTTGCGCCCCTCAACCAGTAGAGCCACAGCACCTGAACTCAGGAAGAGTCCCAGGCAGGGCTCTGTGTCACAGCCCGGTACAGGGGTTGGGACCCAGGGGCACTGGGAATACACTGGCTCTTTGGCGGAATGAGTCATTCAATCACACTTGATGATGTCACCCATTTGATGATGACCTCATGAGGCCCACAAGTGCACGTATGTTCCTGGCCCTGCAGGCAAATCTCCAGGGAGCCACCCCTCCACCTATCCAGGGCCTGCCCAAAAGCCAGCAGGTCGGGAGAAGAGCCTTCAACCCAGAGGTCTGGAAACACTGTCAGGAGGGGGGTGGAACACAGACCCCCATGCTGACCCTCAGCAAGATGAGGGGAGGGGCCCTGGCCAGAGACTCCCAGGCCTCCCGGGAGCCTACATCCTCCCTGCCTCATAGAGTGGGCTTCATCGACCCCACCTTTGCAATAGGGTAGTGGAGGGCTGAGGACGCTGAGGGTTCTGATGGGCTGCCCTGAGTCCAGTCCCAGCCTGGTCATCTCCCGCCCACCCCACACCCAGCTCACCAAGGTCCAGCAGCATGCTGTCCGGAGGGAAGGAGGTGCCAAACTCCTCCTGCAGGTGGTACGCCCGGTGCAGCAGCGTCTCCAGCCTGTCTGCAAACTCCCTGCGCTGCGACTCCGGCTGCGTGGAAGCAATGGCCATCAACCCAGGCCTCCGAGTGCCCCGCGGGAATGGCCCCCATCCCTCACCACCGCGGCGGCCCAAGCCCAGACCCCTGGGGACAGCCCAAGAGCCACGCCTTCCTGTTCCAGACAAGTGCACCCTGACCCATGCATGACATGATGGGGCCCTAGAAACGGGGCCAGACCACCAAGAGGAGGCCTGAGTGTCCATTATGTGGCCCTGGCCATGGGCTTTCCAGGGAAGGAAGACAGTGTCCATTGATGAAAGAGCAGCATGGACCCAGGAATCCTTCAGAGGGTCGGGAGAGGAGGACCGAAAACAGGGATGAGCTGACGCAAAACACGAATGAAATGTTAAAAGTATCACTGATGATCTGCACTGCAAAGCTGCTCCTCATTCATAAAAAAGATAGGGGGGTGGGAGTCAACTTCTGAAAATTCGATGACGTGTTGAAACGATAATGTTGGTTCTGACCCAGAGCAACTCTGCACAACAGAAGGAAATCCGGTCTGGTTCTGCGCCAGCCTCACCACTCTTCCTACGCCCGAGCCCACGGCTGCAGCCACCGTGTCCATCCGCCTGGTCAAGGACCTTCCTCTTGCTCACTGCCGCCCCACTTTGCCAGGCAGGATGCCCTTCTCCAGGAACTGGTCTCTCCTGGCAACAAGGCCAAAGGACTTGAGACAAAGTCTCACCATCCTTGCCTTTAAAGAGCCCTCTAGTAGTATTCCCATAACCCCGCTTCTCTTCTGTGCAGAGTACGGCATCAGGATCGGAAGGCTTCTTAACCTTCGGTATGCAGATGACACAGCGTGCTTGCTGAAAGTGAGGAGGAACTGAAGCGCTTGTGGATGAAGATCATGGATTTTAGCCTTCGGTATGGATTACAGCTCAATGGAAGGAAGACCAAAATCGTCACAAACGGCCGACAGGTAACATCATGCTAAAGAGAGAAAAGGTTGAGGCTGTCAAGGACTGTCTTGCTTGGATCCAAGCCGATGCTCATGGAAGCAGCATGGAGACCAAAAGCTGTATTGGACTAGGCAAATCTGCTCACAAGACCCCTTTAGCGTAAGGAGGGGCACGTGAAAGTTGGACATTGATTGAGGAAGACCGAAGAAGAATCGATGTGTTAGGAGAATGTTGAAAGTACCGTGGACTGCAACCAGGGCAAACCCATCTGCATGGGAAGAAGTACGGCCGTAGTGCTCCTCCGGGGCAAGGATGGCCAGACTTCCTCTTACGTGCTTACTTATGTACATGTTGTCAGGCGAGCCCAGTCCCTGGAGAAGGACGTCCAGCTTGGCAAAGTAGAGGGGTGGCGAGAAAGAGGCAGACCCTCGATGAGCTGGATGGACACAATGGCCGCATCTGTGGGCTCAGGCAGAGGCCCAGCTGCGAGGATGGGCAGGGCCGGGCAGGGTTGGGACACTGCACTGTCGAGATGGGTGGGAGCCACTCAGTGGCACCTGGCAGCAGCAACGGCTGGCCGTCCTTCTCCCAGACAGATCGTGTCTGTCCGTAGGCAGCCCCCGGGACCTTCCGCACTCTTCCCCAGCACCACACTGCAGATGCAGCGAGCCTTCTTGGTCTTCCTAATTCCATGTCCAACTTTCACGTGCCTATGATACGTTGGATACATTCAGGGTAAATGAGCTTATGTGAAGTGTAGCATTCCAATCAATGTGCACATTTCTTTTTGCCTTTTAATGGGCCTCTAGAAAATGTGTAATTCGCTCTGTAGTTCACAAGCAGCCGTGGCCCCACATGTGGCACCAGCCTTCTGAACTGGGAGACCTCAGCAAGTGGATTCCGTACGTCTGGGCTGTTGGCCTTGTCTGGCCGCGGAGGTCAGAGTAGCTGCTTCCTAGGGCTTCAGGACAAAGTCAGCAAAGCCCAAGACAGACGGGCCCGTGGCCACGACACCCAGTGATGACTGTCAGGACTGCGATTGCCCTGTGATGGGGGCATGGTGTGGAGCTCAGAAACAGCTGGGTTCAAATCCCACTGTCAAGTGGGTTGCTAACCACAAGGTCAGCGGCTCAAACCATCAGGATGCTCTGGGGGACGGAGAGGAGGCTGGCTGGCCCCACAAAAGATTGACAGGCTCAGAAACCCCAGACTGGGTCGCTAATCGTCAACATCCACTCGCTGGCAGCGGGGCTGGTTTGGCTGGTCAGGTATGTATGACCTGTGATCACGTATTACACTTGGGGAGCATTTCCCAAGGCTCAGCTGCCCCCTCTGTACCTTGTGTGAAGCACAGGGAGGCGCTAAAGAGGTCGTAGGTGTTGGGGCATTATCAGAGGGGCCAGAGAGGAGAGCTCCAGCCTCATGCAGCCTCCGTGGAGGGGCAGTGAAGGGACAGCTGCCTGGGAGGACATGATGGCAGGAGATACCCTGTGGAGGCCTGGGTGGGCCTTTGCTGGCACCTTCCTCCAAGGAGCAGGCCGCACAAGCCGGGCACCTCCCAGAACCTCAAGGCCAGGGTGTGGTGTGGGAGGAAGGGCACTACGCAGTCAGCCCAAGAGGCTTCTGGGCTGAAGGGCGAGGCACGGGCAGGCCCGGTTCTGTTTCCCACAGAGGCTGCCAGAGCCTGCACCTGCAGGTGACCGCACCCCCAGGGAGAAGACAAGGGCCGGCTGGGAGAAGTCAGGACGCAGAGGGGTCAGTAACCATGGAAGTGGCTGCCACTCACTAGCTGCACATCCCTGACCAGGCGTCCCATCACCCAGCCAAGTGCTTGGCTCCAGCCACCCAGCTAGAGCCTGGCAGAGCCCACTGGCCGCTGTGCTGGCCCTGGCGGGCCAGGCTTCACCTGTAAGGCAGAGGGAGCCTGAAGCTTCAGCAGAGCCCATCTCTGCTCAGAAGTCAGAAGCCAAGCTGTCCATTCCTTGTCAGGAAACCGTGTGTCCACATAAAATAAGAAGGGAAAGCTGAAAGTGATAGAAGCAAAAACCGAAGTCCCTCTATGGCTCACAGCGACCCTGGAGGCCAGGAAAGAGCTGGCCCTGTGATGCGTTTCAGAGACTGTGACTCCACGGGAATAGAAGGCCCCCAGCGACTGGTGCTTTCAAACTTGGAACCTTACAGCTAGCAGCCCAAAGCCACTACGCCACCAGAGCTCCTACAGCGATAGACGGTGAGCCGGTCTGTGAAAACTCTGACTGTACACAATGCCACCCCAACACAGTCTAAGGGTAGGGTCTGGGAGACCCACCCCACACAATGGGTGTCCCTTCTGGGCGGTGAGATGACCCACGCTGTGCTCGTTTTGCTTGCCTGGGGCTTCCCTTTGGGGAAGCCACGTGGGCTCTGGTGTCTCCCTGTGTGGTGTCCATGTAGGCTCCGGGGTCTCCCTGTATCCCTCACCGGCTGTGAGATCTTGAACTGGCCACTTCTCCTCAGCTGACCCACCTGCAAAGCAGTGACGACGACAGCCACTCCCTCGGGCTGTCCTGTCTTGCACCCTGGATGGCCTTCCCCCTGACCTCTGGAGCAAAGGGAATACCCCCCATGGGCTGAGACTCTACATTCCACACTAAACTCACTGCCATCGAATCGGTTCTAACTCATAGTGACCCTATGGGGTGGCGTAGAAAGCCTCGTCTTTTGCCCAAGGACCAGCTGGTGGTTTTGAACTGCTGACCTTACAGCTAGCAGCCAAACTTGTAACCACTAAGCCAGCAGGGCTCTCCTCTTTGCACAGTGCCTGTGAAATCCCTGGATCAGCAGCTCTGATCTGCTCAGAGGCTGGGGCCTCACCCCTGAACCCTGCACAGCACACAGGGACGGAGGGACGGAGGGACGGGCCTGGGGCAGCCCCAAGCTCTGTCCCTACACTGAAGAAAGCACACTGCTGACAAATCAGAACAGGGGCACACACCCCTTTCATGAAAAAAAAAGATAAACTGTTTAAAAGAAGGTAGGACTTAAGCTCACAAATGGAGCTGTGATACTTGGTGGAACATTTAAAAATGAGAAGATTAATATAACACTATACAGTGAACCCTCGCCACTTCACGCTTTGACTTCCGCGGCTTCACTCTATCGCGGTTTTTGCGTAACAGCACTCACTGCCTACACCCGCTCCTTCAGAGGAAAAAGACAGCGACCCACCTGTAGAGTACATCCCTTAAGTCATTTCATAGGCTATTGATTACAGTATTTGTAAGAACTATGTATAATAATACTGTATGTGAAATATGTAATACTGTAAACTAGATGCCATAAATAATATAATAAATAATAAATGATAATTGTAACATCCAAAATGTTTTACTGTATTTTCCCTTTTTCATTTAATAAATTGGGTAATACGAGTGTAATGGTGACTAAAGGGTGTTTTCTCATGTCCTCTATGCTCTAACTACGAAAATATTTGATTTACAAATAAGGAATCCTACTTCGCAGAATTTCATTTATCACGGTAGGGTCTAGAGCCAATTAACCGCGATAAACGAGGGTTCACTGTACTTGATCTTAGCCAAAAGGCCAAGAAGTCATAAGACTGTTAATATATGAGGGTACACAAGAGCCCAGGCTTACGAGATGGCTCATGACTGGTGGGACCCATGACTATGGCCCTTACCCTTCAGGCCAGGCACTGTACTTAAAATAATCAGCCACTTAAAACCAAGATAGCAGCATTTGCCCATGGCGAGCGTTCAGAGGGTTAGGGCAAAGGAGGGATGGGCACGGGGACACGGGGAGGCGATGGAAGGAACATCCAGGGGATGGCAGTGGCTGAGCTGAATCAGAACGTGCATAGTTGCTGAATGGAAAAGTGTGATCTGTTCTGTGAACCGTCACCTAATTCACAATGAACAGTTAAGAAAAGTAAGCCCTCACCTACATTACAAGAAAAAGAAACGGGAACCTCTAACAATAGGCAGACACCTGTCTTCACGCAAACAGCAAAACCCCGCCTCGCTGTCCCACCTGGAGTTCACGGGCTCCCTTGGGTGCCTCCCTGACTTCATTCCCAGACCGGGCTC